TCAATATGATCCGACTGAAAGAGTTTATCAAGCATTTGCCAGAATACTCCAAGCATTGCAAGTAAAGAATTATTAAAACGTGGATCAGTTGATGAATTTGTTGGGTAGTGGCTGAACACGGTTCCCATTCTGAAATTAAATATTCTCAAGGTATTAAGTTGAAAACCTTATCTACTCTAGCCAAAAGATTGTTTTACAGTAATAATACTGAAGTTTAATGTTCATGGACTTTGAATTAGAGAATCTCGGACATGTATAATGCTAATAGAGCTGGAAGTAGTACTAAAGAAAAGCAATAGAAGATCAATATGAGAAGGAGAACATAAGAATTGAACCAGGAAAGTAACACCAAAACTGTTATTGAAATCAAATTGGCCATTAGGAGAAGCAGAAATTTATGAGGCAATCAGCATCTAGTGGAGGTCATCCTTGTTCAACTCAACTCATATTATCTCACCAAAATGGGAGAAAAAAAAATAAAAATAAAAACTAAAAATAAGCATGGATCAACAAAGTACAGGCACTAGAAGCTAATAGCTATTTAAATTTGTAATATGAAAGAAAGGTTAAGCATACCAATGCACAAATGCTGGTGAGTTTAAGTTTAAATTGAGGAAAATTTGAGTGAGCACAGAAGAAAGAAGAAACTAACAGAAGTCAAAAGATCAAACCTATGCAGCCCTCTTCTAGCAGAGTTGACAACCTGAGTATAAGTAGCTGGGTCTTTTCTCAAAGGATACTCATGGTTTTCATCAATCTGAAACAAAGAAATGAATTTAGGTTGAGTGATTCAGAAGAAAAATTATTAACACCCAAAAAAAAAAAAAAAAAAAAAAAAAAAAAACCATGATGAAGAAGATTGTTCAATTCTATGCAAATTGTTAACAGAGAAAACAATAGTAGTAAAAATTCTGTGAGAACTGGTAAGGCTTCTAAAACTCACTAGAAGAGACACTGAAACACCGAAAAAAAAAATGATCATAAGAAATGGACAATATGTTCTAAAACTGACTAAAAATCATGTGCATCTCAAATAGAGAAAAAACATACAAGTCATAGGAAATAATGCGGGTCAGTAAATCCTCAAGCACAAAAAAATAAAACAAAAATAAAAATAAAAGGAAAGCTCAAAGCCTCAAATATAGAAAGCTATTCAAGCTCACTAACAATTAAGCTTTTTGGTTTGGAAGGATACATTTCTTCAAACTAGACTGAAACTACAAAAGTTACTCCCATCATTAAAAAAACACATTTTTCAGAAAACATCTGAGCATCCCATAATCCCTCTCAAGGAATTGTCATTTTCAGCTGGAAATATTACAATGCGTGATGATTCTTAGTTATTGCTGTTTTGCTGCACATGAGAGCTGGTCACGTAACAGGAGAAGAAGACACTACCTTATCCTGGAAGTCCTAAGAACCAAAGATAAGTTATTCGTAAATTAAGTTAACGACATTAACAATTATATGAAGAAGTCAAAGGCAAATGCTTTTTCACACAGGCTTGAAAAGGCAAAACAACCATGGCATGTTCAGTGTAACCATCATTTACGATCATCACCAAGAACAGAAATGAAAAGTATGACTCACAAGTTTGCCAACAGCTTCATAGCTAGGAGAGAGTAATCTAGAAAACAAAGTATTCTTCAGTTCCTCATTAGGAACAGAGCCAACTATCAGTGTGATTGCAGCAACTACTTCCTCCTCATTCTCTAGTGGTAAAACCCACTCTTCCAAACCCTAGGAACCAATGATTACAAGAAGGATAAGGACAAGAGAAAAATAAGTTGAAACGTCAATATAGAAGTGCAATTACAGTGAATAGGCATACCAACATCAACATATATGTATGTATTTACAGGGAGACAGTTGACAGAGGTGATTTAACAATACTGTGTAGTTTTTATTAAATGAATACACAAACTGTATTTCTACAAAATACTTTGCATTTTCCAAAATAATACATCATGCATTCATGCAAAAGTAGATGGACTGGAAACCAAGTCCCTGAACCACTAGATGAAGTATCAAGAAGTTAGAGGCATATGGTAGAACAAACCTCCCCTATCCAAATTAAGATTTCCAAACATGAAGGCTCGTACATTAGTGCAGGCACGTCTTCACATAACTTTCGCAAAGCACAGGCACAAGCAGATGAACAAAACGACTGCGCAATGCCTGTTGCAAGAAATGATCTGGAAATAGTAGATCAGCCAATCATTCATACAGCAATGAAAAATTTCTCTGAGCAAAGGGAAGGAAAGTTCTACAGGATATAGTGATTTGAGTCCAATCTTGGTTCCTATTTAAGTGAAGCACCATTGGATATTTTGACAAGGTGTGTTGTAAGCATTATAAATGTCCTAAAGCCCATAAATTTCACTGTACTGAAGTGACCAGGTCAAAAGTCATTGGTTCAATTTTAGGGTTATACTTTAAAATTGTGCAGCTCATGGTAACTTTGTATATAAATGTGGCTGTGCTGTATTAGGTAGAATATAAAAAGGCAGCTCTTACAGTAATGGTCGGGCATCAGATAGAGAAGCTGATATTAGTTTGGAATAAGAGCCAACAACATCCGCTAGTGACTTGTAAACCTGCAAGCAAAAAGCATAATAGAATAAAAATAGGTAGGCCAAGGACTTCCATACCTATACTGGCTGTACAGTAGAAGAATGCTAAACCAAAACATTTTGTGGCTTTGTTGCCATGGTTAAACATGAACCAGAAGAAAATTTTACTTCCTAGTCTCAATGACCAAGCAATTCCACAAAATTTCATGTATGAAAAAAGTACCTTTTTCCTAAATCATTTGGATGGAGAATGCCTTAGGATGCATTGAAGTTATATTTTCATGTTGAATTAAGTGTTCCATCTAAGCTCAAAGCCTAAGCTGTTAGAGAAGGTTGACATACATTATTTTTGTATTATCTTACATTGATTTATGGGATGCATGGCACACTGAGTTATAGTTGATAGGGCTTCTACCAGTTTTAAATATTCCCTTTTTGTGTATTAATGGAGAACTTTCGGATTAATGTGGTGTTCGAACATCTCTTCTCAGGATTGAATGGATTCTTCTCCAACCCAACTCCCCTCCTGCCTCATCTCTTCTTCTGCCACATCACTATTCTTATTCTTTTTTTGTATTCTTCATATTCCATCCTCTTTTATACAATGTTTAAGGAGGTTTTGAGGCACACTTCAGTCTGAGGCAATGTTGTTAATTGTTATGCCCCAAGGTGTACGCCCTTGTCTCAGAACAAAGGGCGTACACCTCCTGCAGATGAAGCACACACTTTTTGTGGCGGTTTTTGAGGCATCAATGCGTGGGCTGAGCAACATGACTGTGACTGGGGACTTCGGAGACCGGGATAATAGTTTAAACTACTCCGTAAGACTAAGAGACAGGAGATGTTAATTACACACTCTAGAACCTCTGGAAACTAAGAGTTAAAATTCTAGAACTCTACAACTATCTTAAATATTAATTATATAATTAATAATTGATAATAACATTATTTCATACATATATTAATTTAATATATTAGATATCTTAATTTAATTATTTTGGGGTCCATTTTGAGCCTTACACCTCAAAGTGCCTCAAGGCTTACACCTTGCCTCTCCAATACAAAATTCCTTGAGGCCCGTGTACACCTTTTTAAACCTTGGTTTAACCCTTACCATGTGCAAAGTCAGCCAGAGTTAATGTATTTAAGAAAATTGACAGTGACAACAGCAAAAAGAATATAGGCAAAGAATATATCTCACGTACAATTCTCATGAAGCCCTTTAGTTCATCAGGTGTCTTACTGGACAAAATTGTCACCAAGTGCAGTATAAAAGAAAAATCAAAGTATGGTGCTCTGCTGAGAACTTCCTCAGCTACCTGAAATATTAGAGAAGGAGAAAACTGTTTAACAGAGTTTAAAGCATGTTTGGCCTGGTCAGTAACGATAACGTTCTCTGGTTTTCTAGAAAAAATAGGTAAAATAGAGTTTTCTATTCAAAAGTAACTATTTTCCAAATTAGAAAACAGAAAATTGAAAAACAAGAGAATTTGAAAAACACTTTTTTAGTACTTTCAAAATTTTCAAAATACAAAACCTACATAGTTTCACTTATGATCACCATCACAGTTACCTACAAGCTTCCATCCCACCTATCTATCTATCACCACCTTAACCTACCTACCGCCCAACCACCACCATCACCTTCATTACCGTCTTCTTTTTCTTCCACTCACCCTACCTATCTTTATCATCACCTACCTATGTTACCTTACCCTCAGCTACCCACACTCCTACCTACCTAGTTACTAGCACCACTATCTCCATTACCATTACTATTTCCTTCCATCCACCACAACCTGCTCATTTACCCCTAACATCACCTACCTTTGTTACCTCACCCCTAGCTATATACACCCTACTGCCTTCATAGTACACACCTATCCACCACCACTCGATACCATTGTTGCTTACCACCCACATTTGTGTTTTTTATATGGAAAAAACAATTGAATTTCAAATAACTCTATATTTTCTAAATTGGAAAAAACTGTAAACATGTCTAGCTTTTCAATAGAAAATAAAAACTTGAAATTTCTTTTTTAAAACAAAAGATGAAAAAATGGAAAACATTTTCGGCAACTAAACTAGCTTTAACATTTGATTTAAAATTGCACACTTCAGTTACTAACCGCATTAAGAGCAAAAATTTTAGCCTCAACCTCCTTCCAGGGAATATGTGCAGTAGTCATCCATCCTCCTACAAATATCTGATATTTGATGTTCATAAGAAATGCAACTGGTATGAAAGCGAAATGTACGACTTTGAAACTTATTGTAATAGATTGAAATTTACGGCATTGTTATAAGAGATTAAAATATATGGTGTTCCATTGTTCAGTTGTTTTTGACATACAACAATTATATATGAAACATGGCCACATCTGAATCACTGTCAAGCAAGTGTCAAACAACTTCTGGACAATTTTATGGTTCATAAACGTCAATAAAAATTGTTTTGAAAAGTATAAAGATCAAGGAAGAAGAGAAAAATTGATAAATAAAAACTAGATGAATCCTTTTGGAAATTGCTCACTACTTCACGAACATTTATCAACCTAGTTATTTCCTCTGTGTGTTTGTGTTACCCCCATTAGAGTGTCATTTGACCAATGTTGCAGGTTTAGAATGGTGGAAAGAAAGTTTCAGTTTGTTATGGAATATACAAGTAATATCGAATCTATAAATTAGGCAGCCTGAAGATTTAGGATTTTGAGTAGGTAGTCATATGGAAACGTGTGTGTTTCCTTATTAGAAGTCTTGTATTTATAGGGTTATGTATTCCCCTTTCTAACACAAATTTATAAACCTTCTACTCACTTTCGTACAATATATATTTTATCATTCCTTGATTCTTCATCTCTGCTTCCGCCTTACTGGCGGGTATCATTCCTTGATTCTTCATCTCTGCTGGTGGTTATTTTCCATCGGCATTTGGATCATTCAAATTCAACATGGTATCAGAGTCACCACCACCCACCTAGGAAGGTCCGCCAGTCCGGCGACCGTACCTACGAATTTCGACAACGATTGAATCTAGACTTGGTTTAGACCATTGCGTTGTCGGTGATTTTTGCTCCACGGTAGGTCGCCTAAGTCCATTTACCTCAGTTCTGGACTTGGTTTGGACCATTGCGTTGTCACTTATTTTTTGCTCCACGGTAGGTCACCTGAGTCCGTTTACCTCAATTCTGGACTTGGTTTGGACCATTGCGTTGTCACTGATTTTTTGCTTCACTGTCACTTTGTCCCGTGCACATTCAGGCTTGAATTTTGTGTACTTTGTGATCTGTTTTTTCTGGGATGGCTAAAAATAAGTCTGATGCATCTGCCAAGTCGGTCTTGATCTCTGCTGATGAGTTTGCTAAGTTGGAGTTCGTTGCTTGTTTGTTAGGGAATATATAAGCAATATGGAATGTATATATTATGCAGCTTGGAGATTTAGGTTTGGTTATTTTTGAGTTAGTTACTTGTGTAACAAGTTGGGCATGATTAATATCTATGCTCCAACTTGAGGGGAAGTGTTATAGAATATATATAAGTAATATGAAATCTATATATTAGGCAGCCTAGAGATTTAGGGTTTTGAGTAGGTAGTCATATGGAAACGTGTTTCTTTATTAGAAGTCTTCTAGCATATATTTATAGGGTTGTGTATTCCCCTTTCTAACACAGATTTATAAACCTTCTATTCACTTTCTCCTCCTTCATCTCCGATTCTACCACAGCCTCCGCCGACACCTCCACGGCGCCCAACAAATCCGGGAAGTAGAAATCTGAATGCTTTTCCATACACTTGACTAGAGCAACATTCAACTCCAAGCATTTTCCCTCCCAATCCTCCTTCTCGCATTCTTCCACGCACTTATTCCACTCAATAAAGGGCTCTTTACACGCGCCCCTCTTTATAAACATGCAAAACGAGCATTCTCCTTCATCTTCATCTCCTTCTGCAATTTCATCTTGGGATTCTTGATTGTTCTTCTCTGCCAAAGGATCTGAGGAGAAGGGAGCCGGAGATTCTAGGGTTCTCGGTTCTGGGTTGCCGTCATTTTGACCGGAGTTTGACAGAGATGGCGCAGTGGAGTAATTGTTTCCCACGGCTAATCTGTGCTCTTGAAGGTTTCAGAGGAAAAAGTGACTGCAAATGAATTTGCTAAGTTGGAGTCCGTTGCTTATTTTGGTGTTGTCACCCCTTTTTTATGCTCATTGATGTTTGGAACATGCTTCCCTTCCGTTGGTAAAGAAATTTTGTCCTCCTTTTCGGAGTTTGTCTTCTTTATCTTGTGTGTCCAATCTTGTTCGGTCCACTTTGTGTTCACCTGGAGTTTGTCTGCGGTATTGGTGGTGTCCAAGCTTCCATTTCAAGGGGAGTATCCAATCCCACAAGATTGTCCGGTCCATTTTGAGTTCACCCGATTGTCTGTGGTATTGGTGATGCCTAAATGAAATGAGTTTGTTATTTTTGAGTTAGTTATTTGTGTAACAAGTTGGGCATGATTAATATATATGCTCCAACTTGAGGGGGAGTGTTATGGAATATATAAGTAATATGTAATCTATATATTAGGCAGCTTGGAGATTTAGGTAGTCATATGGAACCTTATTAGAAGTCTTCTAGCATGTATTTATAGGGTTGTGTATTCCCCTTTCTAACACAGATTTATAAACCTTATATTCACTTTCGTACAATATATATTTTCTCATTCCTTGATTCTTCATCTCTGTTTCCGCCTTAGTGGCGAGTGGTTGTTATTCTCCACCCGCCAGCCATTTGGATCATTCAAATACAACACAGTTACCCATGGATGTGCATCAAAGGCAAGTGAGTCACAAAGGCAAGTGGTAAAAAGGTTAGTACAAATAATTAAGAATTGCATACTAGAATTTGACAAATTTATACAAATTCCTTAAACTGGATAGAGAACAATGATAGTGTTTTGACAGACAGCCAGATAACGTCCATGATGTTGTGGTGCTGAAAGCCTAAGAGCTTGGTTTGGATGTTGTTTTGTCATTTCTTGGAGACTTATTGGAAATCATTAGCAATTTTGGATAAGAACTCACTTAATCTCAAGTATAGGTTTCTCTTTTTACTTTCTTTTTTTTTTTTTTTAATAAAGTAAACTACAGTTTGTGTTCTTGACAGCTGTAATGTCATTTAAATTATCTGAATCCAGCAGGCCACAATGTTGATGAAATGACAGTTCACATTTTCTGCTAGATTCTCATTATCTCCAATGCAAAAGTCAAAATTTTGGATTTTATTCCCCCCCCCCCCCCCTCCCTTTTCCTCCATACCAGGCATCACTAAATTCAGATCATGTTTAGTTTGTTCAACCTATAATAATCTCGTTTTATAGAGCATATAAATCCCTTATACCTTTTGGATGAATGGAGCAGGAGATAAAATCTGACAAATATCAACCAAAGCTTCCACCAGATTCATTCTGAATTGTAGAAGGCTATCAGGAAGCTCAAGCACCCTTCCACCATCAATAAATGTAGCATCACCCAACTATCGAGGAAAAAAAAAAGCACAAGAGAAAGAGAAATAGAGTAAATAGCTTTGTCAACATCAGTTCCAAGGTTGGCCTAAATATTAATTCTGAAACACTGAACAATTTAGCAGATTGAAATTTCAGAAAGTACAGAAAAGTTATACTCACTAGAGTAGATTATCTTATGAGCAATAATTCTGATGAAGTGCAGGTATTTGTGCTTACAGAAATTTCAGACAGTTTTTGATGAATCAATGTTACAGTCGAAGAAAAATTGGATTCTGTAAGCACAAATAGTCAAATGCTTGCACTTCAATTGAAGTTCTTAATAATGCACACAAGTACAAAGATGTTAGTTAAGCAGCCTTTATTTGCGCACACACACAAGAATGCAAACCTGAGATCGCAAAAGAAGAGCATCCAGCAATGCTGAGAAAACATGAAAAAACATTTCTTCAACATCCTTTCTATTTTCCTGACTATCCATACCAATCCCAAGAATATAATCCATGAGACTACACCTGCAAAATAGTGGAGACAATTTTTTAAAAATGTAATAAATAGAAAAAAAACCATGGTCTGTATGTAGAATAAGTTGATAAAAGTATGTTCTAATCTTCTTTCAGTGGACTTGTCTAGAAGTGGTTCCTCTTTACTTCTGTAAGTTCTGTTAGAATAATTAGGAGGGAGTTAGACCTCTACCCCAATATATGAGGATGGTTTCCTGACATATACTATTACTATTCCTTCCATTGTTGAGACTGGCTATAAGCCTCCAGTTACACAAGTGTATTCCAGGAGACAAAGAGATGAGGTTCCACCAGCAGTGAATCCTCCTTCATTTGCCAGTCTTTGGCAACTGATCTAGATCTTCCTGTTGCCCTCCAAACAGATAAACGTAGTTGTTGTCATCCCATATCTTCATTTGTTTCTTATAATGATTTACCATTGTCTTTCGTGCCTTTATATCTCAACTAGATTATGTGTTTGTACCTAAAACTTTGGGTGAAGCTTTGTCTCATGATGGGTGGAAGTCTGCAGTCTACTATGGAAAAGGAGATGGCGGCACTTTGAGGATAATCATACTTGGGAGTTTGTCTCACTCCCGGCTGGTAAGTCTGTGATTGGTTGTAAATGGGTTTATGTTGTGAAAACAAACCCTGATGGGTTTGTTGCTAGGCTAAAAGCAAGGTGGTAGCTAAGGGGTATGCACAGACATATGGTATTAATTATATGGAGACTTTCTCCCCTGTAGCTAAGTTGACATTTGTTCGTCTCTTTGTTTCTTTAGCTGCTATTAGTAATTGACCATTGTATCAGTTAGATGTCAAGATGCTTTTTTTCACGGTGATTTAAGTGAAGAGGTGTACATGGAGCAACCACCCCAGCTTAGGGGGAGAATGGGAAGGTATGTAAGTTGAAAAAGTCTTTATATGGTTTGAAACAGTCATCAAGAGCGTGGTTTGGGAGGTTTAGTAGTGTCATTGTTGAATTTGGCATGCATCAAAGTGCTAATGATCATACCGCCTTTTTCAAACATACTAATCTTAGGTATGTTTTGTTGATAGTGTATGTTGATGACATAGTGATCACAAGTAGTGATGCACAAGAAATTGAGGTTCTCAAGTCTTTTCCCAAAGAGAAATTTCATACGAAAAATTTGGGAATCTTGAAGTATTTACTGGGTATTCAAGTTGTCCGCTCTAAGAAAGGTATATTTCTCTTGCAGGGGAAATACATGATGGATCTACTGAAACTTTGAAAGACACTGGATTGCAAGGGTCAAAGCCTTGCGAGACACCCATGGATCAAAGTGTTAAGCTTGTTGCTAGTGAAGGGGAGCCCCTTGATGATCCAGGGAGATATAGGAGGTTAGTGGGAAAGCTGAACTATCTCACTATTACCCGGCCAGACATTGCTTTCCCCGTAAGTGTGGTGAGTCAGTTCATGGAAGCAGTTGTTCGCTTTGTGAAGCATCTAAAGAGTGCATATGTGTGTCTACAACAGGGTATTGTGTCTTCATGGGAGATAATTTGGTCTTGTGGAAGAGTAAGAAGCGGAGTGTTGTAGCCCGTTCTAGTGCAAAGTTTGAATTGATGGCTCATGTAACATGTTACATAATATCCTTAAGAGATTGGTATGAAGGTGAGTATACCAGTGAAGTTGTGGTGTAATAATCAAGCTACTATACACATCTCAAATAAATCTTGTTTTTTTTCATGAGCGGACGAAGCATATTGAGGCGGATTGTCACTTTGTGCGAGACAAGGTTCAACAAGGTTTGCTCTCTATTGTGCATGTTCGGAGCGGCAACCAGCTAGTAGATTTCTTCACGAGGGGGCTTAGTAGGAATAGATGGAATATATTTGTAACAAGTTGGGCATGGTCAATATCTATGCACCAGCTTGCAGGGGAGTGTTATTAGGAGGGAATTTGTTAGAGGTTTTCCCCTGACCTTGGGTTTAATTTCAAATTCTGTGACTTTAGCTGCTTCCTAGCTACTGTGTATATAGGGCATTGTACAGCTTCCTTAAAACACACAGAAATAGCCAAACTTTCTTCCCATTAACAACTTCATGAGTAAAAAATCTTCATTATCAATTCAAATAGTATAGATGTACATATTTATTAAACAAAGAAAATGATGGCTACCAGAACTGCAAAGTTGAGTCTGCTATCTCCCAGTCTTCACTTGGAAATGCTACACAACTGTCATAAAATATGAAACATCAGATATAGTTAGTCTATCTTGGGCTTTAGTTAATACTCAGTCATCAATGACTTCAACACACAACGATATGCCAAAGAGGCAAAGAGAGTTTTATGTGTGACAAATAGTGAGAAAGTCTCTAGAGGCAACGCTTGAATCAGGCCTACTTTACTGTAAAGCTTTTCCGTCTAATGAAAGATAGAATGATGGAACTATGAAACTTTCCCTTGAGAAAAGGAAAAATACTGTAGTATCACTAGAGCCTGAAATGCCCTTGCTAAAAAGTATTTGTACTTAGATAGGTCATATAGAGAATCAAAACAAATGCTCTGATGCTGACACAGTCTTCATTTTCAATTTTTTTTCTACAAAAGTAAATCACTAACCCACTGAAAAAAAAAAAAAAAAAAAAAAAAAAAAAAAAAAAAAAAAAAAGGAGAAAACATCAAAGAAAGGAAGTTTTCCGATAGAAAAACACCTTTTCATGCAACAGATCAAACACATCACAAGCAGAATGTTTCTATGCACTAGAATGCAGATCACTTCAATATTTCAAAGCATGAATGTTACATCTGACCTCAAGAGTGCATCTGTCAGCATAAAAGCTTCAGGACTTGCTTTGACAATCAAAGATGGCGCCTATTATACAAGGAAATTTGAAAAGCTAAAAAAGTTTCACATTCTCAGATAAAAATTGATCACCCATTGTTATCTACATTAAAAAAAATTCTAAACGTATAGATTTTAATTAAAGATTCTTACAGCATGACCAATTTCAGACATCAAACAAGCAAGGCCACTTATTACAATCTCATCTCCATTATTAAGTGCTGGAAGGAGGAGGATATCCTTAATATATCCAATTCTGCACAGCAAAACCTGTGGCAATCCCTATAAAAGCAAAGATGAACTATTTAAGTTGTAGAACTTCAAAGAACACTGTCATAGGAGGAATTATTTTTTGTCGTCTTTTTGGTATTGTGTAAGCACATCAATAGTTCAAAAAGAAAAATTAAAGGCAAAGGAGTCATTAAACACTGATATAGATCATCGTTTAATACCTCATGTCGACTCAAAAGTTCAACAAGAATTTCAATTGCCAGACCGAATGAAGATGAAACCTATTAAGAAATTAAATAGCAGTTAATCACTATGGTTTTTCTTAGCAATCATAACAAATCTTACATATTACTCTGTAATAAAATTATTGTTTCTGCTTGCAATGACAACTAATCCTACATATCACTCAGAGCGAGAAAAAAAAAATACCTGCAAAGAATTGAAAACAAAATTCATAATTGGATGTGTGGGTAACGAGCCAGGAGGAATCTCTGAGAAGCATCCAGCTCGAACCTGAATGAATGCACACAGCTAAGCTTGAGAGCAGAAGATGAGAATGCAACCAAATTCTGTGTCTATTTGGTAAACAATACAGCTGCAGCATTCTTTCTTCTTTTTAATTTTTTTTTTTTTTTTTGCAAGTACAATTTAATGGCAATTCATAAATGGAAGAAAATACAAACTTCAAGATTTTCAAATTGATTCAAGAAAATTTTCTTTCTATGTTATGTTCACATTGTCCTTATGCCTTTCTCATCAAGCTTCTATTCTCCAACAAATGTCATAAAATTTAACCCTGATCAAGTCATGTATAATATCTCATTTTAGCTTTCATTCCTAGTCCCCAAAGGAGGATAAGAAAAAAAAAAAAAAAAAAAAAAAAAAAAAAAAAAAAAAACTAGCTACATAAAGCAAACCAATTCTTCTTAACACATTAGAGTGAATGAGAGATAAACCTCCAAAAGCTTAGAGCCCATGAAGAGGCTAAGAAAATACTGCTGAATACCAAATAAGCCATGAAAACAGAATAATTTAAGATGCAGAAAGAAATTGATGCTGAAGGAGAAATATGAGAAATGGGAGAAGAATAATGTTAGTAGAAAAATATGGAAATATTTCCAGAATAGAGATAGTTATAAGAAGAGAGGAATTACAGAAAGAATGCAAGAAGAAGAAGATACCATGAATATTCTAGTTAGAAACTACTCCCTCCGTCCCATTTTATGTGTCTGGTTCAGTTAAGAGGCTTGATCGAAGTTATTTTTAATCTAATTTTTCATAATATTAAGTTTAGTATTGGTATACAAAATTTATATATTTAAAAACTATACTAAAGTACTATTGAACACAAAAAAATCAAATTTAAAAATATATATATTAAAGAAAATAAACAAAGAAGAAAGAGTTGGTTTGACCAATGAATAGTTAGTAGGACAGATGAAATGGAACAGAGGGAGTACAATTCTATTGAATCATTCATCCAGGCTCTTGATTTTCTAGTACTAGTATAAACAACCTTGCACGCTAGTATAGAACAGATTTTACAATCATCTACTCCTCTCTTTTTTAGTTGGATAGAGAATTTGAAATCCTTCTTAAATTACTATATTCTAAGGGGGCATTTGGTACAAGGGTTTTGTGCTCCAGGGTTGGATTCAAATCCAAAACTTTACTGTTGATAGGAAGGAGGTAGCTAAAAACCATTGCTTGTCTCTTCTATTTCCACAATGTTGTTGGTAAGTTGACTTGAAATTTTTCTCTAACAGATAATCATTCAAACCTCCCATCTCTCTTCAAATACTTTATAGGGTTTTGTTGCTCACTTCCATATTATTTTTCAGAAATCAAAATTGATTGGATTTTTCTTATCAGTTACTTGTTTTGTGCGAAGAATCCACTTTCTAGGGTTTTACAGGCTCTACTCAGCAAAAGTGAGGATCAGACAATAAGCCTGAGAAGGTTTTTTTTTTTTTTTGCTTGAGTTCACATTGTGAATTTTTTAAGAACAGTATTTCTAGAAACACAAAATTTTTCAGAGTTCTGTTTTCAATTCTGGTAGATTTGCTTGAGAGAATCTATATATGACTTGATTTGATTTGTCGCCGAGGCTTCATAAATTTATGGGCTACAAGATTGTTCTGTTTATTATACCTGGATGAACCTTTGTGACAATCTGTTCGTGTTCTCCATTGAAACACTATTGGGTTTACTTATCTTGATTTATTATTTAAATATTTTGATTCTGATTGCAATTTTTTTATGAAACAAATACACTACTCTTACTATACCTGGATGAACCTTTGTGACAATCTGTTCGTGTTCTCCATTGAAACACTATTGGGTTTACTTATCTTGATTTATTATTTAAATATTTTGATTCTGATTGCAATTTTTTTATGAAACAAATACACTACTCTTACTCAAGCACAATTCAGATTAATAAGTATTTGATTTCAATTTCAATATCAATTCAAATGTCTAAACCAAACACCCCCTAAGTGTTGCTTCACCCACAGCAATAAACTACAATGTTCAACATGTCTTTTGGTGGTCATAGATGTAATACAGAACTATAGAGAGCCTTAACCAATGAAAAGTAGATTATTACCAATCATCCTTTTGTTGATAAGAAGTTTATTGCCAATTATAGAGTAAAATCCACTTTTGGTACCACAACTATTGTAGCACTACCAAATTTTGTCCTCGTCTTTCAATTTGACCACATTTCATCTCAAGACTTTACTGGCAGTGCCACATTCAGCCCTCTGTTAAACATTTCATCCTAAATCCGTAATTTCCAAATCAAGGCTCCTTACTCTGAAATGTTAAACCCATGTAAAAACCACACTCTTCTTCATTGTTTACTCAAGATAAGCTAAAACAAAAATCTTAAACCCTAACTCATCAAAATTTTCCCAAATTCATCCTAGAACTGAAGCCAATCAATGGCACATTAATTTGCAGAGGTTATCAGTTTGAGCCCTCAATATATCTCTCAATCACACTTAGCTAATGCGAATCTGAACACCATGAACAATGGCTTGAAGACTAAGAAGTGGGAGCTCCAAAATTCCAAAATACAGTACTTTACTGGAGATTTTTGTTTAAGTTGGTTTTTGTTAACAGTAAAGCATGGGGACCATTTGTCCCTTTATGTCATTTACTGTATTTCTAGAGAAATATTTGATTAAGTATTCTCTTGCATACAAGCCATGTTGTGTATAATATATACATTGTATATATGTGTGTTCTGTACTTCTGTATATATGGGTCCAAGCTTGTAGAAGAAGATGGTGTCTCACTGTTAATACCCCCAAGTCTTTGCCTTGAGTCCACTGAGATTGAGCTTTGTAAATATGTGGACATAGAATAAAAGAGAAAATGGAGAAATGTTTAACCTAGTGTTTGCAATTTAGTTTTTTAGTCAGTCATGTTATATCTTCGTCAAAGAAGGGGGCTGAGAAGTTTGGATTTGGAAATTATAGAAGTATCCCTAGACTTAATGTTCAACGGATGGAATTTTTAACAAAGGAATGAATGTGGCATTGCCAACAAAGTTGTGAACGAAGTGTGGTCAAATTGAAAGATGAGGACTAAATATGCCAATGTCACAACAATCAATTGTTTTCACAACAGGATAAAAGATATTAGAAACTATCTTACCCAACTTAACAAGCAACGCAACAGCTTTCTATTCCTATCATGCACTTGAGTACCACTGTCAATATTCTTCTCGCTTTGCTGCAGAAGGAACTCAAAAACCATTGAAGTGTGAGAGAGAAGCTGCACTTGACAACATATTCTCAAGTTAGAAAAAGGATGCAGGTCTGGTTTACAGATATTGACAGAAAGCAAATACGACCAACATTTAAATGAGAAATTTCTAAACCTCTCGGCCGTACTCATATCGTTGGACTGAACTTATTCTACAATCTGCATTCTGATCCTCAATAACTTCTGGCAGGACAGTAAGCATCTCCAAAACAGCAATCTTGCCATCGTCTTCACTTTGCAAATTGTGGAGACTGTAAAAGAGCTTTTCAATAGGTTTTCCATGCTCCACGGCATGAAGTATAAGCATAGAAAGAGCAAGACAAATTTGCGTCAACAGCTGCTTTAAGATGAAACAGTCTCAGTCTCTCAGAAAATTACTATCAGTAAAACCTGAACTGAAGCATATAAGATTAGTATGCACACAAAATGGTGGATTTTTACCTGATGAGGTCCAGAACTATATCTTTTAGCTGCCAAAAGAAGAGCATTAAGCAGAGCATCTTTAGCACCCAACTGCAAGTAGCATCCTTCATTTTGTATCTGTAGAGTCGTGAACCAGTATTGGGTTGTTAGAAAGACAAATATACATATGCAATTATGCAAAGTAACACCCAAAAAAAAAAAAAAAAAAAAAAAAAACATTGATAACAAGAAAGATGCAGGGAGCACAACTAATAGGTGCTTCTGGTGTTGCAGTAAAGTAACCACATCCCAACAGAGTTTTCAGAAAACAATAAAGCTAAGCAGAAGCTGCTGTTTGCATTGCCATTTCACCATGCCCACATTCCATAGTTCCCATTAAAAAGGAAAGGAATTATGAAAAATTATGTAAGAGGAACGAAGAGCAGTAATAAATACTAAAGAGAAGGATCAACTCAGTGGTCAGTCATGTTTGCTTCAGTTATAGAAACAGGCTAAACCAGCTAGTAGCAATTCTAGCTCTAATGGTTACAATAACGAATAATAGTGTGATCAACATTCTGCAATTCTAAGTGTATAGAACTTATTACTCAATAGCCAATCCTATTTTTATTATCAGAATCAGAATGCGAAGAGTATCAAAAAAAAATTGCAGATTATACAGTCAAATTGGTCGCAAAAATACATACATTTGGGTGGAGGCACTGTCAACCTCGCATAAAAGTGACTGTGACTAACGGATTCAGTAATAGAAACAAAATGCTACCTACAGACCTTTCGTTTGAGAACTTGAGCAGCGAAGAACTGGACTTCGTAATCAGAAATGAATTGGTGACGGTGGTCGGAGGTGAGGATGGCGGTGGCGACTTCCCAAGCGGCATCAGTCTGCTGGAATTGAACAAGCCACTGATTAGCAGCTACACGGTTGCAGGATTGTGTGTCGTGATTAAGCATATGAACAGCCTGCGCGACCTTGATTTGCAGCTCCATATCTGTGTTCCCCCGTCCAAGTACAAGTCCAATTGTAAGGAAGGAAGGAACGAACGAACATAAGTCGTCGATCAATGAAAACGAACGATTGGAGAACGACGATCGTTACGCCGCATGTCTCTTGCAGCCTTGGCTAATCGACGGCTCTGAGATTCACAGGTGTTGAAAGCACAAGCCCTAGAAAGGTGAGAAGTGAGAAGGGAAAGAATGATGACCTCCAACCTTATTCGCTTACCAATTGGATTATCCCCGTAGTTGGTGGGGCCGCTGCTACCTTCTGAAATTTTGTGTTCGATGCACCCGATTCTGCCCCTCTCCGTTTTTCCAAATGCCTAAAATAATTTTTTAATGCTTGAACAATTTTTTGAAAAATTTAATTTAATTTCTTAATAATGTTTGAAAAATATTTTTTTTTTTTGCTGAAAGTTAAGAAATTATATATTTTATGTTTGATTTATTTTTCTTTCTTAATATATTTGATATATTAGCAAGAAAATTAATATTAATGATAAATATAAAATTTTAAGTATTATCGGCATCTATTTTTAGTTTTGTAGTCTTAAGGCAAGCTTCCGTATTTAATTTGGAGAAAAAAAACATATCTAGTTTCCTATTTTCGTCCCATCTAATGCTTCTTTTCTAGACAGCTGTAGTTGTGTTTCATGGGAGTCTGTTCTAGTACAGCCTTCATAATTGTTTCAATTAAATGACTATTTCGTCTAACAAATAGTCATTTTCTAGACCAGTTTTCGGTCGTTACACTTTATGTTTGACATATTATATTATTTGTTATAATAATAAATTAATAATAAGAGTTCCTTTCAAAAAAACAATAATAAGAGTTAATACCACAAATGGTCCTCTGACTATTGGGGTAGTACCCCCTTTAGTCCTCGACTTTTAATTCGACCAAAACACATACTTCGACTTTCATTTTTAACCACAAATAGTGCTCCGTTAGTGTTAAATTTAAGAGTGTGTTAAATTTAAGAGTATTATTGTCAAATCAAAGAAAAAAATAAAATAGTTAACAACAAGTCCATTTAAGGGATCATATTTGAACAAATTGAAATTTCAATCTTATATTTCAACGTAACAATCAATTGAGAGAACATAAATAGAGTTTTTTTTTTAATTAAATAACATTAAATTAATCAAAATTTTAAAAATTATTTTTAATTAGGGATCGATGTGCTATTGGCGGGCATGCATATTAACACACGTCATTTTTCTTGCTCTTCCGATCAGCCACGAACTTTTTCCAGGCGTAGGTGATCTCCAGGGTGACTTCACGATTAGTCTTTTTGTGAACGGCGGCGAGTTTGACGCCGACCCTGGGGGGGAGTTTCCCGCTCGTGGATGACTTTCTCGATGTCGGTGACTAGCGCACCGCATTTCCGAATTACAGCATCAAGAAAGGTAGTTCAAATGGACTTTTTGTTAACTATATTTTTTCTTTGATTTGACAATAATACCCTTAAATTTAACACTCACTTAACAGAAAAACTAACGGAGGACTATTTGTGGTCAACAATGAAAGTCGAGGTATGTGTTTTGGTCGAATTGAAAGTCGATGACTAAAATGAGTATTATCTCAATAGTCAGAGGACCATTTATGGTATTAACTCTAATAATAATAATAATAATAATAATAATAATAATAATAATAATAAGTTGTGGTATGAAATAGTGGTGGGGTTGTAGTGGTGGTGTGGTGGTAATAATAATCTAAAAACTTTAAAAAAAAATGCAAGAGAAGATAAATATGAGAAAATAAACAAATCAAAAAATGTAATAAGATATTTGTCGCCAAATTTTACAGTTTTTTCCATTGATCACAAAATGGAAGTCATTTTATCGTCGGAATTAGGACATTCCACATACTCATAGTTTGATTATAACGACCTTTGATATGGGCTATCAACTCCTATAACTTTTCCTAGTATTTCGTTGAACGTACAAGAAATCAGTGGAACTCTCAATAAAGGGTTCGGTTATCCTCTTTATAATAAGGAGCTTAACGATTTCCCTACTATTCTTGGAGAATATACTTATCCTCAGTAGATCAATTGGATATCTACGACTCGGCAAGGTTCAATGACTTCAATCTCTATACACGAGTTTAACATGTGCCTAATGAGTCTTTAGTCCTTTCTACTCGCAGGGTTGTTCCTCAAACGTTTGTCACTGGATTGTTATTCCACACGACGCTTAGTGTGGATAGTCTCCTTTATATTTATGTATTGGTTGGCTCGAATCATCA